TAAATCTGATCCATATCCTACCATGAATTTTATTTTTCTGAGATCGTCTATAAATTGAATTTGGTTGTTTCATGGGTTCCATCGCCGCCGACCATCAATGGAAAAGCATTATAAAAAAAGATTTCATGGCTTAAAAAGAAATGATTTTCTGATAAATAACACTATTTTTTTTGTATTTCATTAAAGCATCAAATTGCTGATAAGAAACTTTTTGATTATAATTGAAGATGAAGAATTTAGATCAAGGATTGTATGAAAATAAGAGGCAAAATATGTTTTAAACAATTTAAAGAAAACATCATTTAATACCTCAAAATTAGGTTGGTATTTTTTTTGTTCTACTTGACTATTTTTTTTTTTATTTTTCATAAAATTAATAATTTTTTTCTATTTAGTGATGAGAAGCATTATATGCTTGATGCTGATTTAACTCCAGGGTTTGTTTCGAGACAATTCAACCATAATCCGAATAATTCAGCTTTTCAGGTAAAAAAAACCTTGGTTATGTATTTTTTTTAAAAAAATTTTGTTTATTCAATCCTCCTTTGATAAATAATTTTCCTAGATGTATTATTTTTCAAAGGGAAAATTATTGAAAAAAATTGAGGTTTTTAAAAAGGGTGGAAAAACTTGACAGTTTAGGTTGAATTTTTGATATGTCTCCCTCCCCCCGATCATCGAAAATTTTGAGAATAAATCCTCAACATAAATATCCCTGTCATAAACTATTTGAAAAATTGTGCTGAAGGGGGCTCGGCTTTGATTTCTACGGAACAATGGTTGACTGGTTATTTCAGCAGTAACCAGAAAACACAGGAATTATTTATGTCTTTTTTTATAAACATAAAAAACAAATTCTGTAGAGTATTCATTAATTTTTTCAACTAACATGTGTCTAATGTTTAGAGCACATTTAAAGAATTAAATCATTTACAAATTACAAAAGCAATAGCTCCATTTCGTGATAATTAATTTCAAAGTTTTCTGGCTACCTTTTTTTTTATTATTATTTACTTTGACTTCAACTATTCTTCTAAATATTTTAACTTATTTTTAAAAATTTGTTTCATAATTTTTAAGGACAGTTCCATTTTTTGTTGCTTATTGGCACTCCTTAAAAACAATCTTGAATTTACTCCTCCGCAATATTGTAGTAAGGGGGGGGGGGGAGGAAATTGGATCCAGGTCCTGAACATTTCTACTAGATTTTCTGATTTTTTAGGTAAAAGACAAATTTTCAAATTTGTTCTCCTTTTATCGCTTATTTTTATGCTGAACCATTTAGATAATTGTAAGTTTTTATTAATCTCTTATAAGGAAATATTAGAGATTTATGTTTTGAATGCAAAAATTTGTTTTAAAGAAAGGCTTCGGTTGTTTTTTTTGCCCTTGGATCAGATCCTGAATGGCAAAGTTTGCGGTCCAACGGACCCCGTAAGCACTGGTTTCAAAGGATCTAATTTAATTTTTGCTTGCAAGCATATTTGCAGCTTTAATTTTTTTCTTTATTTTTAACGATTGGGGGGGGGGGGTACTATTCCGTAGAATATGAACCCTAGCAGTGAAGCACGGAAGAACTTACAACTACAACATGCATTATGTTTTGAATGCAAAAATTTGTTTTAAAGAAAGGCTTCGGTTGTTTTTTTTGCCCTTGGATCCGGATCCTGAAAGCCAAAGTTTACGGGTCCAATGATCCGGATCGTAAGCACTGGTTTCATAGAATCTAATATAATTTCTTATAGGGAAGTAACACATTACCGCGAGCCGGTCAATTAAAAAAGAAAACTGTTGGAACAACGTTGGATGATTCTGAAATTGTCATCACAAAGAAACTAACCGGTAAGTAATTTTTCTATTACAAGGTTACCCAAAGAGGTTGAGACAGTTTAAAAACTTTAACCTTTTACGGAAGATTTAATTTGTTTTTTCCGCTTTTTATTTATTTAAAAATCCTATTCTAATGATTACAAGGACTGAAAAGATGCGGCAAACCAGGCTTTGTTGGAAAGAATAATTAGAACTGGCGTTTACAAGTCTCATCTTATGGTGGTAGCCCTGTATTTAAACCCAGTCTCCCTGTGAGGATATTGCTTACTTCTCCAATAATTTATTCGTAAAATTATTACTTAGTAGTACTTCTTGAATTCGTTTATTCTTTAATATCTTGATGACCTTTCGGACTATATTTCAGGGCATATTTTTTAGTATTACTTAAACTATTTTTCCCATCTTATTTATTTTCTCTATCAAGTAATTTACTTTTCCAAAATATATAATTTTTAACCATTGAATACTTAGATGATCTATGGATAGATGTGTGAACAAGGTTAGGGGCATTTGGGGCTCACCCCCACCTGGATCATTTAAATCTATGGTCCCCCTGGACAAATTTCTGTGTACGCTCCTGATTTCCGTATTTTAAATTTTTAAAAAGTTTTGTCCAATCTTGATCTATTTCTGTTGTGTAGGTGCTGGGAGCAGTGTTAGGATCAGGATCGGTGGTTCGGATAGATCTCCGACCCATAATCTCCAGGAGAACCAGGAGACTGCCTGGAACCAAGACACTGCCTGGCAAGAGAACCTGATAAACAAATTTTCAGTAAGTTTATGTTCGTTGTTTTCAATTTTGGTTAATGGAAGCAAGAGTTTTCCTGATTTGATATAATTTCAAGAACAACCAATCCAGCTAAGCCTATTAATTTTACTTTCTGAAATTTGATCATGCACATTTTTCATGTTAAGAAGGGGGCAGTAATGCTAAAGCTAGGCTGAGCCATTAAAGCATTTTTTGGTATTGAGTCATAAAATACTTTTCTAACTTTCTAAGAAGTTCAGATGTGGAAATAAAAAAGATTGCAACTTTAACATATCAAAAGAAAACAAATCTCGGAACATTCTGAAAAAGATGTTTCTGTAAATTCTAAGAAATAATTTAGACAAATTTATGTCCTCTTGGAGAAATGCCAAGTGAATGAATAACTTTTAAGACTAAGGAACCCCCAACACACAATTTAAATCTGATGTTTTTAATTCAACAAGCTTGAACCAAATCTGAACTGTTAAAAACTACAGATTTTCAAAAAATTTCTTATCGCTGAATGATCAAGTTAATTTTAGCATTTAAATAAGCGAAGAAAAGGAGATAATTAATTTGAAAAATTTTCTATTGTGTTAAAAATCAGAAAATCTTGAATAAATTTTTATGTCCTGAATCCGGACTCATTTTTTTCCTGTGTGGATCCTGGATCCGGATCAAAGTTAAATGGATCTTAAGCACTAGTTTTGAGTATGAAATGGGAGGAGGTGGGGGGGGGGGGTGTTGTGCACTGGTACGTTATCCAACCTGAAATTCAGGAAATATCCAAATTAAACCAAATTAGAATTTTTCTTCTCCACTAGTATTAGACTTTCTGTGATAGAGGATTCTTTTCATTCTTATAAAGAGAATCCCGTCTTAAAAAGAGAATTCCGATCCAAGATCCATGAAAAATTGTTCTGGATCTCAGATATACTTTGCCTAAAAACTGAACAAGATCCTGAATGTAAAAATGATCCTGATTCTGGATCCCTATTGTGTAAACACTGATATAAAATGATCTCGATCATGGATACTCTTCGTCTAAAATCTGATTAGGCTGTTTAATACCTCCCGTGTAAATCTGATCCATATCCTAGTTAATTGTTGTCCACAACCTAATCTGATTCATGGTTACATTCTGTATAAAATCAGATCAAACCTGAAAAATAAGAATTTGGAAAATTAACCGGATTCTGGACACTTCCTGTGCAAAATAGACAATCCTTGTATTGAAATTTGTTATGGTCAAAGAAAAATAGTTTAAAGGGACTGTTTGCAAAATTTCAGGCGACCTTCCATCCATGCAAAAATAGCAATGCCCGATCTACAACGGTTCCCTTGAAACCTTAATCTGATTAAAACTGTGAAAGATACTGTCTTATTTTCTGACTCGAAAGTGTTTATTTATGTGAGTGTCTTCATTGCTTCTTAAAAAGTCACACTCACATTCGCAGAGAAACTGTAAATTAAACAGTTCAAAGAAACAAAAACATTGATATTTAAATTGATACTTGATCAGACAAAGCTTTCAAGCTGGTACCGTTGTAAATCGGACATCATCTTTTAGTGGAGGGTCACTAGAAATTACGCTTACAGTCTGTTTAACTGTTTTTCAACTTATTCAGTTTAACCCGACCTTTGGACACTGATTTTCAATATTTTTAACTGAATTTGAGATATCTCCTGTCCAAAATCCGACAGATCCTGGTCTTAATAAGTTCTTTTTCATAGTTAAATTTTGACAAAACCCCGTGTTTGGAGTTCCATCTTTTGTAATAAGCTGATAAAAACAAAAATGTCAATTTAAACTGCCTTTTGTGACCATCAGTGGCTTGTTTGGTATCGGAACATTTAAAAATTTAAATATCGTCATTAATAGACGTTTTCCTAGTATGGTGTTAAACCCAGATAAAATAGATAATATCTCATTAAAGCTTTTAACGACCTGGACACTTACATTTTATTATTTGAGTCCATGACGTTGCAATATCCTTTCCATCTTAACATATATAGAGATTTTAAATGAAATCAATACCTTTAAAAGATCTGATGGTCATTTATTTAACCCACCCACTTTATGTACTTACCAAGGAGAAATAGAATTAATTGCAGATGTTCGTTTACAGGACAATTCAAACTTTGTAAACAATAACTAAAATTGTAAATTGCATTCTGGAAATCCAAACTGCAATGTTTAATGAAAAAAACCGCCCTATACCTTTATTTCTATTTCTATTTTTGTTGTGGGACCTCGTGTGACCCTAGAGAAGGTTTATGGATGATTGAATTTTCAAAAATTTGCCTCTAACATATCCGAATTTTGAAAATTCTGAAATACACTATTTTTGTTTTTAAATCCGCGTAACTTTGTCTTGTTTTTGTTTTGTTTTACAATGTATACAAAGAGAACATGTTTACTATTGAAAAAGAAGATGGACGCGAAGCGCCAAAAGTCTAAGTTTTCTATATTTATTTTTGTTTTGGTTCCGCAATTTACAAAAAATGTGTAGGAAACGCCATCATGCATTGTTGGGATCCGTTTAAGAGTTATTTCTTCATTACTCTTTAAACTTAGGCTATTGTTTAGTTAAATACTGTTATTAACCCTATTCAGACTGACGTCTGGTTTACCCATAATAGTCTGGGGGGGGGACCCTCCCTATCTATTTTCTTAATGTGATACAAATTTTTAGTTCATTAGATCTAGGGATTTACTTAAATAATCTGCAAATTTTTTGTTGCAAATTTGCAATATTGCAGTTATTTATTGCAATATTAAGTTATTAAGCAAAAAATGTGCAAAAACTAAAGTTAAATTATACATTTTTATAAAGCCCTTGCCACGGCGATATATGCATAAATATTTGAAAAATTTTCTAAGACTAAATTTGTATTCAAGAAAAACTGAAAGTGTGCTAATCCTCTTTAAAGGCTTCTGTGCAAAAATCGATGCAAAATTTCTTCGCAAAAATTGAGCAATCTGCTTTCTTTTGTTCAAGGCTTTCTAAAGAGCTATAAATAGTCTAAGTCCAATGACCGGAAGTGGGTCTAAATATAGATATAGATTTAGTATAGTAACTGTAAAATAAGGCATTGTTGGTATAAAAGCCCCGCTTCAAGTCTTAAGTGAGGGGCATGTGATAGTTAGAAAAGTCAAACAATTTGATCAGCCTCAGACCAATATTTTTATCTCCCAAAAACGTCAGGGGGGTTCCCAGGGACCTGGGACACCCCCCCCCCCCCCCCATGGTTAAGAGCATCTACTATTTACAGGGTGACACACAAATGTTGTTAGATAATTAGCCAGTTAGAAATTATTTTTATGTAAATTGTTTACCTTTTGTTTTGTTAATATTTTAATTTTCTTGTTTTATGGCTTGTTAAACCCCCCTGAATGGTAGCATTTTGGTTTAATCTTAACAAAGGATTGGAACAGGAAGTTTAGTTTGAATATACTTCATCATTTTAGATTTTAGGACAGCTCTGGGAATAGTTGTTGATTTTGTTAGATTCTACTTTTAAAGGGATTGTAAGCGTAATTTCTTGTGAACCTCAATGCAAAGATGACACTTTACGATTCACAATGGTACCCTTGAAACCATAATTTATTAAATAATAAAATAATAAAATATGTGGAATGATACTGTCGTTTTTTTTTACTCAAAAATTGTTCATTCCTGTAAATAACTCATTCTCTACTTTTAAACAAGAAATGCGCAAGTCACTTTCGCAGAGAAACCGCAAATGAAAATAAACAGTTCAAAGAAACAAAAACCTGCATATCTAATTCACACGTGATCAGACAAAGCTTTCAAGGGTACCGTTGTAAATCAGGCATCGCCAACTTTGCAGGGAGGGTCACTTGAAATTGCGCTTACAGTCCCTTTATTTAAAAAAAAGTTTTTAAAATAGCTCTAACTTGGACTGTGGACGTTATTTGCATTATAAATATTTAACCGTAATATTATCAGAGCTGAATGAGATTCTGATTTTCAAACTGAACATTGCTTATTTTCAGTTGGGATTTCTTTATTTATCAATTGCCGATTTTTGCTAACAGAAGAAGATGAACGGATTTGCTAGATTTTAGTCATTCAGCTTAAGGTTAAAGGGTACCGTTGTGAATCGGACATGCCACTTGATGAATAAAGAGACATTTGAAATTACATCATATTATTATTATAAGAAAGATTTTTTAAACTAAAATTACTAAATAAGTCTTGGATTTTGAGTAAAATACTGTTGAATGAATGTTCTGAATGAAAAAGGAAATATTTATTTGTTTTGTTATGTTTATCTGTATTAGAGGCTTTGTGTGAATCTTAAACCGTCATAGGAATAACACCTTTCATTCATACAAACAGCCGTAATATTATATAATTTATTTTTATTTGTACTTTCAGAATTTGTTACACAGGAAAATGTATTTTTTAATACTTAAACTCTGGCCCTTATACTACCCTTTTTTAAGAAGCTTTGTAAAAAATTAATGATTCTTGAAATCAAAACTTTATCCATCAAAAATCAATCAAAAAGATTCCTGAATTTTTAAAGAAATTTTAAAACAAACTGATTTTATTTTCAGACTGTGAAAGAACCGAATTCGTCCGAGTTCCCAAGCAGAAAACAAGGTAAAGTGTCGTCTTTATTTGATCCTCCGAGTTCCCAAGCAGAAAACAAGGTAAAATGTCGTCTTTATTTGACATAAAGACACTGAAAGTCACTGTTGAAAGTGCAACTTAGGATTCGGATTAGGATCCGGATCTGTTGGATCACCAGCATTTTAATTCCTGGATCCGTATCCAAGGGGAAAATTATAAATAATTTACTAACTTTTAAATTGTTTAACAGCTTCAGCTAAAAAATAAGCAAACCCCCCCACCTTTTTTTTAATTCTTAAAAATCAGTAAATCATGAAAATATTTGCATCCGGATCCATTATATTTCAGTTTAGATCCAGGATCAGCATCCAGATCCGCATTAGAATTAAATGTATTCTAAGCAGTGCAAGTTGAAAGTCCCCACCACTCCATATTTTGTTTCATGAGCCTTTGTGCAATTATGAATAATAAAACTTTTATACCCTTTCCTGGCTTGGTTAGCCCGGGTTTTAGTAATTGGTTATTGGGATGCGGAGCAGCAAAATTCAATAATATATTATTTGCGACAAAATAAATTTTTCTTTTCATCTTACTTCATACTTACTAGACTGGGGTTTTTAATTTTACTAAACACTGATATTTTCCATATCCAAGGCATGCTGACCCCTCCCCCCCAGGACAATTCAAACTTTGTAAACAATAACTAAAATTGTAAATTGCATTCTGGAAATCCAAACTGCAATGTTTAATGAAAAAAACCGCCCTATACCTTTATTTCTATTTCTATTTTNAAACGTGAGGAAACGGTGTTAATATGTTTCCTTTTTCAAATTACCGAAATCAGGTTGAAGCCCAGGGCAATATGCTCAATCAACATAAAGGTGAACCAAAAATTCACAAAAGGGTTTGATTTTTGTGCAAATCCAATTTTTATCAGACATTTTTTTAATGCATTTTAGACAATTTTATAAATTAGATTTTTTTGGAACACCTGACACCTGAATCAACATGGCTGCCAGTGATATTAACGCTTTAGTTTAGACAGATATCAATCTATCAATCTATTAGGAATGCCTGGATTGATCTCATAACAGCCTGTTGCGCTAATTTATCTGTTCTGTCTTGGGTCGGAGGAAGTCTTAGTAAGATGTATTATTTGGAATAATTAAAGGAGATAAAAACAAAATGATTGATTGATGGATTAATTGATTGATTTCTAGGATCTGATTTGGATAAGAAGAGGAGACGGTATACTCTTGATCAGATTGAAAGAGAGGAGTTTAAAGAGACAGAGACGGAGATATCTGAACCTGAGGTAGGATTTCCAGTTTATAGATTTTCATAATACAAAAAATAAGTTCTTTTTAAAAATTTTTTTTATATCCTTACAAGATTCCGACGAATGAGTTCTTTCACTAATTAGCACAAAAAAATAAAAAAATTTCCCCGCTTGTGATGGCCTATTACGGATTTTATACATTCCACTCTATTGGTTGAATTTACACACTTTGCAGGATACTTACAAAAATTAAACTAGTCTTTAGAAAAATAAAAAGAGTAGATGAAGTATTGCATTGATCTCAATATTCACAACTCCAAAGTTTTCAGCACAGGTCAGGTATTTTTTGTAGAACCTTGCTAAACAGTAGGCTGGAGAATATGTTATTAAGTTGGTAAGTAATTAAGGATGTTTGGAGGGGGGGGGGGCAATTATTAATAGAGACAAAATATGTTTCATACATAATTAATTTAAGAAAATTAGGTAGGGTTAAATCTATAAAACATGACAATGTACAAATACAAATGTAAATAATTAAATTTCTATTCAAAGTTAAAACTAAGTTTTACAATGATTGGTTAGAAACAGTGCCACACATGCCTTGTATTTACTTTAAAGCCATAAAAGCCTAGATTTATATTTAACTGGATTGACAGCTGAATGCTTGTTTCGTTTAAAAGTCTTTATTTATAGATTGGTATTGACAATAAATGCAGAAATAAAACATTACCAGTACTAAAGAACTATAAAGGACATTTCCTATGCATCATGTGCAATCAATTCTAAAAATATTTTGAAGAGTTACGGTGGGTGGGGCAAGAAGGCGCCCCCCCCCCTCCCCAAGTATCACAATTTAGTACATCTCAATTTCTTCTGAAATCAATTATTTCTGATTGGTTCCAAGATTATTTACACCTTAACCAATTCATTGTATGAATTGATTTAGCAAAAGTGGGGGGTGGTAGGTGTTGCAATTGTTATTGCATATCTCATCCTTTCCCGTGAAAATTTTTTCATATACTTGTAGAATTTTGGTTTTTTAGCATTTAGTATGAGTATCTATTGGATACTCTTAAAAAGGTTGCTGACTAGAAGATTAATTTACCACCTAGTGCACTGTGAAAAATGGTGTTGAATTAAATCCTGTGGGTGGCTTTGTATGCCATCTTTGGGGACATAAACAGCCTCTTACCTCCCCCCCCCCTGCCCCAACTTCTTACTAGCACTTCGTCACGCATTATGAATTCAATGCTACAGCCACTTTGATGTTTTAATGGGAAATTATATTTAATATGAATTCAAGCGTTGACATCTATGTGTCCTAAGTAGAAAGGGACTTTATATGCTTATATTTAAGGATTTGAAAGGACAGGGGGATAAGCTGATTTTAGAAAACATCAATATTCTTTTATTGGTTTCTAAAACACAAGTATACTGACCATTATTTAGATAAAAATTAGTGGTTAATTTTTGAATTTTAAAAGCAAGATTTTTTTATTTAGATTTAGACATTGCAAAGTTTAAGATATATGATATTGTTTAGATTAATACTCATAGTCAAACGGATAAAAGGTCCAAATAACAGATAATTTATTTTTTTACTAACTTATTTTTACATCTCCGAACTAAGATTGTTATGTTCTCTGCAATTGTTATCAAAGATGTTCCAAAACATATTCCCAGTATTCCACCAATGGCAGCAAAAACATCAACCAACGACTACAATATTTTGATAATTTTTAATGTTTGCTTAATTAATCATAAGTGGGTGGATGAGCTCAAAAATTCTTGTGGGTATTTGTGCATAATGATAACAAAAAATAGGAAATAAAAATATTGTGCTTGCTATTTTTAAAAAAAGAAATATATGAAGTTACCTTTCCTGTGTTGACAGTGATTATTTCAGAAGTATGCTTGTAGGAAATAACAGCATACTGAAAAGACTCGTCTCTTCCTTCATTACTTTAAAACATAAATTTTTTGTTTGGATCCTAAAGCAACACTATTCATTGTTCATTTATCTTCTTTAAACTTACTTAAATGATAAATCAATAGTCTTCAGTGTGATATCATAGTAGCTTTCAATACACTGGACCGGACATACTGAATCATTCCTAAACAAATTAATAAAACTGAAGTCCTCACTTTTACTAATTTTATTTGTTTTGTTTACACTTTAGCTTTAATGTTCCACACGGACTCTCCAATTTTTGAACTATCTTCTGGATCACAATATTTTGAGCCCTGTAGTTTTTGTCCAAATAATATGAAGGAACAGTTAAACTTTCGCACAGAAGTTTTCTGCATGTTTTCCCTAAAAACATTACATTCAGAACTAAGTATTAAAAATTATAAAAACAGACTCAGAACTAGATCCTTAGCAATGAGCTTCAGGTTATTCAAACATTAATAGTTTACCTAACACAGTCTTCATGCCTGTATGCTAGATCATTATTGCATTGATAATCTTCTATAGCTCTGTGCTGATTTGTTCTCTCAATTGTCTGCTTTTCAACCAAAACAATTGTGTAGCCATTGATTTTTAATGGTGTTAGTTCCTTGTATGCCAAAGCATACATGTTCATCGTTTCATCGTAAACATGAACAAACATGTTAGAATAGAAAGCAGCATCATCGCTGGCTATGTTAAGGTCAATTTTATTAATTCTTGAAGTCTTGGAGCGGAAGTCAAGATTGATTGCTTTTCCATGTCCAGAAAAGGGTCCGTGGCTGGCGAAGCATTTACCACCAATGCTGTAGTGATAGGTTGGGAAGTCTCTTGTGCAACTGGCATAGCTGGATTGAGTGCTGATGACATAATCTTCACAAGTAAACGTGACAAGGTCCAGAAGCTTGTGCAGGTCATTGTTGACGGAATTTAGATGGTGATAGTATTCAGTTCGAAGTTGATCCCTTTTTTCTGCAGTCATTTTCTTCATGTTGTCTGGATAGGGTTGGAGTAAATAGGTCATATAGGAGACCAATTCTTGAGAAATTCCATTCTTCGCAGCCTAAAATAATGTTGCAGCGGGTCAAAAATTTGAACGATTTCAGTGATTTGGTTGCAAACATAATAAAATTGTGAATTTCTACTTTTTTAGAATAATTTTCCATAATGTTTGTTTATTTTGCTTGACAATTAAATGATAAAAAAAAATTCGTTTTGGTTTTCTTTAGTTGAAAAATATAAATTTTGGGAACTGAGAAAACCAACTTCAGTATAAAATTGAATCATTTTTTATGAATGCAAATTAAAAAAATTAGAATTCTAATTTCATCCAATATTTCGATAATTTAAAAACCTTTGTAAAGTCCCATGGTGCTTCATCACAAAATTTTATAGTAAGAATTGGTTCTTTTCCATTCTTGTTCATGTTGATGGAGTAAGTAACAGAGTTAAACCCAGGATCGGATAGATAGGCCTAAAAAGACTTTATTTTTAATTGAACAAAATTGTAATTGATGTTTATATACTTTGATGGATAAAGAGGAGAAAGCACATGCCACGATTATGCTGAAAACAAGAACTAAATATTCAAACCAGGTTTCCTTAAGTTTATGAAAAAAGTAGCAAACTTCATTTTTTAATGATGTTTTACTTCCTTCCATGGTTTTTAACGCACTGTTAAAAACTGGCACCTACAACCTTTCCCCTCTTTAGATAATCGAAACTCCAATGTGTTATTAAATAAAAAAATATTTGAAAAATGTCATAATTAATTTTTTGTTTCTTCCAAACAATAAATTATCTACTAATTAATTGTTCCCAGCTCAATACTACAACAAGATTTGAAGTGGAAGAATTTATAAATATTTGGATATTAATTTAAAAAATTTAAAAGTTGAGTTTATAAATATATAAAATTATATACCGCCTGTATTTAGCCCTGCCCAGAATTACGAAGGTGTTGGCAGAGTTGAAATAATTAATTTATTCAAGAAGACAAGGACATATTTGTTATAAAGAGACAGGGGGACAAATAGACTAATAGATTCTACGGATATACTCAACTAGGGACAATACTGTTATTTAATGTGACCAATTCCATTCAATCAGGAGCATGTCTGATTCATTACAGAACCCTTTAAACCATTATCTCATCCATACTGTGGAAGATATCTTCGTTTTTTAGCTAGCTTGATTATTTCCTTCATCGTTCTTTAACCAAAAATGCGCAAGTTAAGTGGCCTCAGATATGAAAAAGGAGACATTTTCATAATCGTTCCATAAATAAAGAAAAAGACTGTAGTACCTTTTATACATTTTTTTTCTTCTGGGNGATATGCGTAGGTGTTTGTAAACAATGGGAAGGGGGGTTGCCACTACAAGTGTTTATTTACTTACAACGCTTTGTTTTACGCATTTTATTATCTAGCTACGCAAGGCTTTCTACCTCGCTTCCTGTGAATCATCAGAAAACATTGTTTTAAATATTTTCAGTTAGTATCGATCCTTCGTGGTATCATGTAATACTCAGTCAATCCATTATATAGACAAACTTTTTCATCTAAATTTTTTCCGCAGTTAAACAATTTAAACTTTTAAATTTTTTAACGAGTTTTTATTTCAATTTAAAAAAAGTGTTTGTTGTAATTTGTATGAAAAGATGGATCTAATTTTTTTCAGATCACATAGTTTAAAGCTAGTAAAACACGATGTACAAAATACATTGTACTACAAAGTGATCAAGTACATGAATAATAAAATGTGAAACTTTTAAGTTATAAAAAGTTGTTTTTTGTAAAAAATGTAAATCTATAGAATAGCTAACTTACTAATAGGTAGGTAACTAAGAAACAATTTAAATTCAACATTTCATAAAAAAAATTCGATCAAAAATTTTAAGTAAATTTTCAGTCATGTTAAGAGACGTTGACATGATTTTTTTTTATGATATTTAAGGAGACGCGGGGGGATTACGGCNGATAGAAAGGTTGTAAGCTGAATAATCGATAATTATAATTACACCTGTAAAAGCTGTTTACTTTATGTTCATACGCCAGGGTCAAGGGTACAATATATAATATGACAATCAAAGCAAACAATTTTCTTTTCTTAGAGGGACTGTCAACGTAATTTCAAGAGACCCCCCCCCCCTGGTGAAAATTCGCATGCACGATTCACATCAGTACACAGTTGAAACCTTAATCTGAACATCAAGATGGAGATGTCTTTCTTTGGCTTTGCTGCATTAATCCGCAAGTATGGTTTGCTGGCGAAGTCTATTGTTGTGTATCAATCATATTCATTTTTAAATGGAGGGTGACTAGAGATTACGTTTCTTAAAGTATAAATATCAAAGATGATACTGCATTGTCTTGTGTACAATGTATTGCACTCTCTGGATAAACTGCGTAAAATTGCACATTGCGTAATCAATCCCTGCAATTTTCTCCTCTTACGCAAAAAGTGCCTATAAATGAACTAAAACATGTCACGTGTTTCTAATGGGTTAAACATTGTCACGTTTTCCCCATCAATTAATTCCATTCAGGTGTTATTACTTCATGTTTAAGCATGCAAGGGAAAATGTAACAGTTTAGGAAAAAATTATGCTAACGGTTGTGGCTTTTTCATAAAATACATATTACGTTTACGTTACTTTAAATCTGGGCAATTATTTTATACATTTTGTGACACTGATAGCAAACGACAAAAGAAAATCAATGTGTCGTAGCGAACTAGCTATTTGTATGGAATACATCAAAACGTTTTTAGTCTTTTATGTTTTCTCTTTCTTTTGAAATTGCCATTTATGTAACTTTCTTCTAATTTTCGTTTTAATTTTTTCTTTTTTCTGTCCCTTTTTTCCTTTAAGTTTCAAACATGGTTTTTCACCCTTAAAACGTGCAAATTTTGTCCATTGAAATATTTCTCCCCCTCCCCCCGTTTTAACCCTGATAAATGTGTCGTGCACGACGTGTAATTCAATAATCACCTATTGCCAGCATGAACGGGAAATAAACGTTAAAATATGAAAAAACTATTGCTGTGATAATGATTTGGAAAATCTTGAATAGTGCCGAGCCATTGTTTAACAATTTGTCCAACGCACAATAGACCCAAGGATAGAATTAAAATAATTATTTCTTGATTTTTAAAGATGTTTTTTTTTGCAAAACTTAACTTATACACTTGTATGATGTATATTGTATAATACTCATTGTGGAAAATGGTTTAAAATAAAAATAAGATATTTCATGAATATATTTTGAAGTTCACAGTTCTGTTTAAACAATGAANAAAATCACATTTTTAGCACACTTTAGTGCCCAGATTTCAAGGTTTTGCATTAGACAGTAAGCAGGGTGGCCAACATTTTTGAGAAAAATCCGTATTTTTGATTTGATTTCTCATTTTATTATCATTCATTTTTCTTCGTGTTCGTTTGTGAGCAAAGGCTGACCTTATATGAACAAAAATGACCTCTGTACAATGTACACATGATAAAGATAATAAAGCGGATGAAAAAAAATCCCGATAAAATAAAAAAATACAATTTAAATCTGCCTGCTTGTTTTATTATGGAAGCTATTCTTTTTATTTTCTGAATTGTGAAGGGTTTCCTTAATTTAACATTTTAGTAAAATGACAAGTAAATCAGACATTGCCATCTTTGCATGGAGGGTAACTTAAAGTTACGCTTACAGTCCCTTGAAGTTAAGTTTCTTTACAAAAGGAAGTATAGTCTGGTTGTAAATAGATGAGATCTAGACGGAGATGGAAGTGGTAAACTGTTAGTAAGTCATTATGATGTTGGTGGTTGTGAGGGGGGGGGGGATATGGATGTTTTTTCTTTCAGGGGCAAAATTTGGCCTTCTGTAAGAAAAGATAAAATGTTTTTAACATTTTAATTAAACATTTGCTTTTAACAAAATTTGACCCTGGCAGAAGATATTTGTAAAAACCCGACCAAAGAAGGATCTAATACGATGCCAAAATGAACGTGTTGGTAAGTTGTAATTACCGTTTTTGGAATTAAGATATTGCAAAGTTTTATAAACGCAACCTTTATTATCTAAAATCCTTACTCTACAACACATACTAGCTGAATTCCCATGATTTATATACCTGAGTCGTCAGGTTAATGGGTTTACTCTCTAATTAACTCTGTAGAAATGATTATTAATGAACTGTTTTACAAATAGTTCAACCACTGGCCAGATCTGCCCTTAAATGCCTTAATTACTGCGATGTAATGATACTCTAATGGTGCTTTTGAGTTTTTTGTTGATTAAACTAATATTTTACAAATGGTTTTTAGAGATTGAATTTAAACTCATTTCACGAATTTTTGTGTAATATACACACTAATATTCTGAAAATTTGCAATTGTTGTTTTTTGCTGAATGTAATCCTTCCCTCCTCCCGTCTGATTACATTCTCTACCCCTTCCCCACCCACCTCTGTCTAGTGCCTGCCTAAATATTTTTAATAATGATTCTTAATTATTCATCGAATTTTTCCTTTTTTGGTAGTTTGACGATTGCATCAAAATAAAGTTAAACAGTAAACAGGGTTGCCACTGCTCCTCAATGTTCAGAATTTAAAAACAAATTACATCTTGCTTCTGATGAATTTTTCTTATTGATTATTCTTCTATTCACATATCCCAGGTTTTGCAATAAGACAAGTATTGTTCGCTACATCTGTATGTTTAGATGACTTTTCATTTAATCGACCCCCTCCCCTTCCCTTTATTAATAATTCCATCTTGTCGGAAGTCCCCCTCCCGCAGTTTTAATCAAACCTGCTTTTTAAGAACATTTTTTTTCACACACCCATATTACGCAAACCTACGATGTTTCAATCGAAAATTTCTGGTTTGGTTTTGGGAGGTTGCAGTTAAGAAAATATATAGCTGGGTATTAGGAGGTTGCAATCTAGAATTCTGGATAGTGAAAGACTCCTCGCCCCCAGGGCTACTAAAAATGCTCAATTTTAAATCCCAAACAGTGTATTCCTTGAATTTACATTTATCACTCTGAATTCCTGAAAGGGGTTCACTAAACGTACTTTCCTGATATCTGCGACTGTTTCCTATTTTTCTTTACGAGTTCGGATTGAAATTAGGCCGACCATATCTGCTAAATGTTAGATAAAAACCGATATCATTTATGGATTCATTGATATTCGTTAACTTTTTCATACTTAAGATAACCCTTTCAAAGCAGCTGAATTCCTTTGCAGCATCCAAAAACCTTTTAGCTCATTAATATCGATGATTATAAAACAAAGCTTTAAAGCATGTCAAAATTAATAAGGATAAAGTTTTTTTTCTTCTTCAATTTTCTCATTATATTTTTAAGATTAGTTTTAATTTTAAGTATATATAAAACCGTATCCACTATCCACCCTTGGTAATTTAATTAGTGGAATGGCCATTGCACATTGTACACTGCATATATTTATTGTTAATTCTTCTGTTCGTTATATTATATCTACTATTCATATATTATATCTACTGTTCTTTATATTATATCTACTGTTTTTTAAAATATCTACTGTTCATTATAATATATCTACTATTCATATATTATATCTACTGTTCTTTATATTATATCTACTATTCATATATTATATCTACTGTTCTTTTTATTACATCTACTTTGCATTATATTATATCTATTGTTCTTTATATTATATCTACTGTTCATTATATTATATCTACTATTCATATATTATATCTACTGTTCTTTTTATTACATCTACTTTGCATTATATTATATCTATGGTTCTTTATATTATATCAATGTTCTTTATATTATATCTCTGTCCATTATACTATATCTACTGTATTTTTATTTTATAAACTGTTTATTATATTATATCTGCTATTCATTTTATTATATCTACTGTTCATTATGATATATCTATCGTTCATTATATTATATTAACTGTTAATTATATCATATCTGCTTTTCATTATATTATATCTACTGTTCATTATATTATATTTACTTTTCATTTTATTATAACTACTGTTCATTATATTTTATCTACTGTTCATTATATTTTATCTACTGTTCATTATATTATATATACTGTTCATTATATTATATCTACTGTTCATAATATTATATCTACTGCTCATTATATTATATTTACCGTTCATCATATTTCTATTAATTATCAATCAATGTTAATATCTGGTCAAAGGTTGCAGTTCAAAATACAGAGAATGGAATTAAGTCGGTTGTTTTATAAATAAGTGTGATTTTACTGCATTTAAGTTCTGATTATAGAACTTAAGCTCTGATTTCGGTGTAATAAGTCTGGATTGAGTTAAGTTTTATCTTGACATATCTTGCATTTATACACTAGTTGCACTCTTACAAGATACTATCTTTATTAACTAACTATTCAGCTATCTATTTATTCATATTTTCCTCTATCTATTATTTCTCTATATATAATAGATCATTATAATTGGACAATATTATCTTTTTTTTCCCCGTAACAAAATCATTTTTATTGGGTATTACTTTCTATGTAATAATTTCTTTAATCGGAATATCAAACATTTTTCAATACAACCTTAATTATTAAAAAAATCGCATTTATATTTGATTATCAACAGATTATTACTTATTACTTCCTTTTTTTTGTTTGCCCTTTTTTTTATTTGTGAAATGATTCTTTAAAAATTAAAAAACATATTCCTATCCATCTTTTTTTTTTTAAGAGATCGCAATTGTTTCCCTACTGAGCCTATTCCTACTTCCTAGTTTGAGTGACTTAAACGAGTGACTGCAAAGTATCGTAATTAGACTTAAACGAGTGACTGCAGAGTATCGTAATTAATCTTAAGAATATTTCTCAACCATTTCTTCTTAATTTCTTACTTGAACTATTTCTTTTCTTCTCCTCTATTATTACAGTTATTTAATATATTTCTGTCGAGGGATAAAGAGTTTGTATAAGAATAGTGAACCACTTGTTTTAAACCCAAGATAATAATGCATAAGTATATGGCAGGATGTATAAAAAATATTCACCAAAAATCAACGTTTAAACATGGATTGGAATAAAAAAACGATTTTTTTCCTGTCTTAAAATTGTTGAAATTAACGCTACTAACTTTTTAGTTCTCCCTTAGTATACTTTGGACTCTATTCAAGCCAAGTAATTGATCTAATCATGACCTAGGCTCTGAAAATATACATATATACTGAGAGATATTCTATAAGATAAAACCTTACATAGATCCAGACAGTTATAAAAATTATGCATTGAAGTACTTGCCACCTTACTCACTCATACACTTACTGGACATTTTAGAACTGCCATGCACTGTGTTTGTTTCAAGTTTCAATTGAAACGTAGTAATTATTACCGTGCACTGTTCTATATTTACCAATTTACCATCAGAACTAGTTTTTAACCTTATAGTTGTATAAAAAATGAGAGCCGGTTAAAGCAAATATGTTGTGATTATTTTTCCTCATTTAAAGCGTTCTACTTTTTCCTCCTTTTCATCCTTCAACATTAGTTTAATGAGTTCCATGAAGGCTGTACTTACTTCACAGTTTTTCATTAAAGGGACTGTTAGCGTAATTTCAAGTGACCCTTCAAGCATTATAGCAATTCTCAATTTACAAGAGTACTCTTCAAACCTTTGTCTAATCAAGTACTTTTTAAGGAGAATAAAGAATTTGTAACAGAGATTAATGCGGTTTGAAAGTAGAAATTGTAATTTTTGTTAAAATACTTGTGTTTAGGAGGGAGTTGATGATGTGAATTCTGATTTTGATCTTAACTCTCTGATCGAGGGGGTAGTTGATGACGACTCAGAGACTGACAGAGTCGATGAAGATCTTGGTGTCGACGAGGGGCTGGGTGTCGACAAGGAACTTGAAAGTATTCAGCGTGCGAGTAGAGGAAAGGTTGTTCGCTACCTGGAACCTTTAAAGGTATTTTAAATCGTTTCATTTAAAAGTTTCCATCTTATATTTAAAAATTTCTAGCACTCATTCACCAGTTTTGACTTTTATTCATAAGTTTCCATTTTTTATTTAAAAGTTTCCATCTTTTAAAAAATGTTACATTAGTTTCCATCTAGTTTTCATAAGTTTCCATCTTTTATTTAAATGTTTCCATCTTTTATTTAAAAGTTTGTATCTTTCATTTCTAAAATTCCATATTTCATTCAAAAGTTTCAATATTTCATTCATTAGTTTCAATATTTCGTATATTAGTTTCAATATTTCATTCATTAGTTTCATCTTTCGTTCACAAGTTTCCATTTTACGTTCATAAGTTTCCATCCTTTAGTTCATTAGTTTCCATCCTCTAATTCATTAGTTTCCATCCATGTTATCTGCCCCTTCCATCGGACCCTGATCTGATTCTGATAAATAATGAATTTGATATCAATGTTTTTCTTCATACCATACAGATACTTTTTAGCAAACGTTCACAGCAAATTTCATACTTAGTACTTAAAACTTAGCTTGATTTGTAAGATTGAAAGAGCAGGAGCTATATTTCTATCTTGTTTAAAATTTCACTTACATTATTTTAATGGTATTCAGTATGGTATCTTACATCTTGATTAAGCATACTAAAGTCTAGGCTAAGATTTTTTAGTTCCTTGTTCTACTCCTTGTTTCCTTCTTTGCCAAATAATTAAGTT